TTCTCCTCAGCCTGTAATTGAGCAGGACAGACAGCCGAAGCCGCCGTTGAAGAGTTCTCTCAGAGAGCTGCTGATCTGCGTTTCCTGCATGCACCGCTGAGTGCCATAATTACTTCTATCACATTTCAGGAGCCTGTGCAGCACTCACACGTGGAGAGGTTTCACTTCTGCTCAACCAGTCCAGTCCATTGCATATGCACGTCACAGGCGAATTACGTGAGGAATATGTAGACACCTTTTTTTTTATTCTGGTACGAATTTAACGACATTTTTCCTTTCCACAACTATCCCCCCCACCTCACCTGTGATACTGCCTTAGGAGCCAAAAAGGACGAGTTACATTTCTTATAGAATAAAGTGTACTCTTAGGCCATGTCCACAGTACTCGAAAACCATCTCCGTCCACACGGGCGTTTCAGCATCGTTTTCGAGATGATCTCCGTCCAGACTAAAACGCCTGAAAACGAATATCACGTGACTCTTCACGTACACTGCGCATGCGGGTGGGTGCCGATGTAAACAGGAAGTAGATTGGTTGTTTGGTTAAAAAAAATACGACGGAGTAATAAAGTAGTCTTTAATAATGAAAGGTCGTGTTTGATACTTAAGATCTTCTCTAAAATCGTCCTCTATAAACTCAAACTTAAACACGTCACGGTTTGTTTCCTGTTTTATTTTGAATTTCCCTGCCTCTTGTATCCTCTTGTATCCCGCATTCACTTCACTTCCTGCCTTTGTATGTTTCCCCGCCTTTGTGATTGTCTGCCCCCTGATTGAATCCTCCTGTGTTTAATCAACCAACAGTTTTCTGTTGAGTTAATCGTGTCTATCTACTTGACCGTTAGCTAAACCCCCAGAACAGCGATTGTCCAGTCATAGTTTAGCAATCGTAGCTAGGCACAGCAGGCACATTGGATTCCTCCGCGTGATGAAGTGGTGAGGGTGGACCAAGAACAGAAGGAATGCTAGTGTCCTAAAGCTCCAGAAATGTAACTCCCAATTTGCCTCTGATTCAGGGCTTTTGTTCGGCAAGCTCCAAAATTTGTCGGCACAAATTAGCTAACGAGCTAGCTATAGCTTATTACAATCTAACAGCGACAGTTGTTCAACAGACGTAGTAACAGTTGTTACAGACTGTGCATATTAAAGCTAAACATAGTGATTCTTGAAGACATTTGAGCTACGAAGCCTTTTGTTTTTCAACCACCAGCTTCTAATTCTTAGACGTTTCTGTGAACTTTATTGAGAAACGCCTGCAGATTCTGTTATTTGCACACCCCTCCCCCACCATCACTCCAGACAAACTAGGTTTTTTGAATCCTTGCACAGACTGAACTCTGAACCAGACCAGACAATGTATTCCCTCGGGGAGGAGGAGCGGACCACCAAAACAAAACCTCTGCATTTAATCGAGCTAAGCTGCTGACCTGATGTGGATCTCACATCTCGGCAGCGTCTCCCCCCAGCTACAAATATGTGTGTTTGTACTTTTCCATTTGATTCGGTGTCAGCGGTCAGGGACGATAATGGGGTAAACAGTGTATAGCTCACTGAGTGTCTGGCCAACTGGAAAAAAAAAACTTTTTGGAAACTTTGCTGTTATGTATTTGCGTGGGAGGAGGAGGTGAAGGAGACTTAAAATACATCAATGTCAATAACTGTGTGTGTGTGTGTGTGTGTGTGTGTGTTGTGCTGTAACATTGAGCCCCAAGAGAGATAAGAGCAGATGATCGTCAGTCTCTCTCTTTCTCTGGCTTGGTGCTCCATTAGATGAAGTGATTAGAGTGGCACCACGCAGCGTAAAAAAAAAAGAGGAAAAACACAAAAGCTTCTTGTGATGCACACAGACAATAACAGCAGCTGAACACAACTTCCTTGACTTTTCTATAGAAATACATTGGACATATTTGAGTATGTTGTCAGTAACAACTGATGGTTGAGTGACGGAGATCACATTGACCGTCAGATTACCACGTCAGACTTTACGGTGTTAAATAGAGAGAAATGTAAAGAAGCCTCGGCTGTCAGGGCTCTAAACTCTGGATCAGCTTCTGCGTTTAAAGCAATGTGACGACTTCCTTTATATTTCCACTTAAACTCCTTTCCTTTATAAACTTGCCTCTCTTTATTCGATTCCCTATTCTTGCTTGTGGACACATTTTACATTCTTTTTAATTCACGGAGAATTTGAATTTCCAGGAAATTTACCAACCTCGGAAATCCAATCTTTGGGGATTTCATGTTTTTCATCTTTAATTGCTTTAATTGGGAACGTTTTGTGTTACTCCACATTAATAAACCAAAAGCCCTACAGCAGTTTCTAAAAAATCACTCATCAAAGCACAAGGTGCAGTCCGAGCCAGGTGATGCTGAGCAGAGAACGCATCAGAAAATAAATGTGTTTTTTTTCGTCTTTTTCATCATTATCAACATCGTTGCCATCATGTTTCTCATCACCATAATCATTTTGTGCAGCTGAATTATTAGCTGTGATATCATCTCCAACAACGACGACAAAACAAAAAGCCCATAAACAGGCTGGCTGTAGAACATGAACGGAAGTAAAGCGCAACATTACTTTAGATTGTATTGCTTATTAAAAACTCTTATTTGTGCTTTTTTTCTTAAATGGTTTTCAGAACTCGGAGAGGTCTTGTTAAACCAGATCAAGATCCTGAAGGGTTTATCGATGCATTCGAGCTCTGGCCCCCTCCGAGTTGCGCAATGTTTTTGAAACGGCACACAGCAAGGCTACAAAGGGCCAGCTGCTGTTGCAAATCCTGGAGCTGTTTTTTGGGAAACCGAGTGGTGATTCATGCTGGCAAATTGATTCATTTCTTCTGCTGATAAGCACCTTTTTTTTAAATTTTTTTCCTCCGTGCCCATATGCTGCAGAGGCTTTGAAAAAGACCTGTCGGAGAACATCTCCTCTGCCCCGGTGAAAAGGCGCAGAGTGCTTGATGCAATCCACATTCAACATCACAAACTACAGCGTCAACAATCAGCACACAGTTAAACCTGCACCTCTCTGAACATTCACAGCCTCACTCTGCTGCATCGGGTCTCATCGTGTTCTACAGGTGTTCAGACCATCGCGGCTATTTTTACCCACTAATCTTGACAGGTAGTTGTTGTGATTGCAGCCCACGCTAGAATCTGTGTGTTCATCTGTTTATGTGCAGCGTATGTTTGATAAGTGCACAGCAGGCGTGTATCTGCTTTAAAGGAGCATTGTAGGAAATGGAAAAAGCTTTGACCGGCTCTTATCAGCAACAGACAGTCCACAGCAACAAGCCAGCGGCTAACCTGCGCCACACATCTCAGCTCTGCTTCTGCTCAGGAGATCACACGAGCTGCTGGACCTCTCACCAAGTCGCTCGGCACCCAGGGGAGCTGAGTAAATGTAAGCTGCTGGGGTGCAGGCGAGATGGGAACAGCAAGGTGGTATCTGACGGAGTTGAGATTTACATAAACAAATCCCTAATTATCAGCGATGGTCCACCAAAGCCTGGCTTCCCACCTGTTGTCAAATCCCCTCATCTTTGCCAGCACATGCAATATATAGGAGACACACAGTCCCAGAGGAATCCATCAATTTAAATGTCAGCCATGCAAAATTGGGTCTGCCCCCAAACTGGAGCTCATGCAGAGGATTCAAGTCGGTAGTGATGAGTCTTACAGCAGAAAACCAAACTACTGTTCTCTTGCCCTGGATGTGAATGAGGTGGTGGAACCAACATATCCTCGTCCAACAGTTTGTATGATATCTTATGAAAAGTTATTCCTCATTTTCGTGCGTTCTCTTACGAATGTCCAGCAACCGTGTCAATTTCCGCGAGTTTGTGGTTTGGGTTACAATTACTAACTACGGAAGTGACGTTACGTGAGTACGATAGTTACTTAAGTACGGTAGTTACTTGAGTACGATAATTACGTGACGAATCAACATTGATTTCTACTTTCACACAGGACACCAATGCGTGACAGGTGTTTTTTTGACCCACCCAGATCTCCATTACTTGGATTATAATGCACTGTACGCTGCGTTGTGTGAGTGAATGAATACAACCCACAATTGGTTGACCTCTTAAACATCAATGGGCTGTAAGGTGTCTTAAAACACACTTCATTCAAACTCAAAAACAAGCAGCGAATCAGGTTAAGAGTAGTGAGTGAGGAGTCTGCAGTCAGTCAATGTCAGATCATTACTTGTCCTGTACTTTTGCATGTTTACACTGCAATAATCCGACTTTCTGCACTAATATAGATCATCATGTGTCCTCGTGATTGGTGTTTCTGTGTTGCATCAGAGACACCAAGTGGTGTAGAATGTTATTGCATTTCTGTTCTTATATTTATCCCTCCTCTCTTGCCGTAGTTAGTTTCTTCTTTGTTTCTGACTCTACTGAGAGGACATGCTGCGGTTACTGTCTGTAAGTATTTCTGTATGTAGCATGTACATATCTACTATGATATTTGCTGTTTTAGGATAACGTTTGTGTTGTAGTAATAGATGCTAATCGCCATTAGCATTCCTCCACTAACATCAATGTTAATATTAGCTTAGACGCTAACTAGTCAGGCAAGTCTCATGTTAATGACCATATTTGGCCATATTTCATGCTATGTTTCCAGTTTTACAAATAATTCCCACTAAAAGCCCTGCACTCTACTATGGATTCCTGGGTCTTTATTTCATGGATCTACTAGCCATCTGCTAAGCTTTCCTGTACAAAGCGAGAGCAGAATAACTGCTACGTTTAGATTTTAAACAGCAGGAAGTTGCCAATGCTAATGTTGTAAATATAGTGGAGTGAAAGTAACCATTAAATAACAAGGCACCTTCAACTGCAGACAAAGCTGTTAGACTGAGGCAGTAGGACTGCCATACCCAGGTCACTGTCTGGGAGGATTACATATGCACACACACACACACACACACACACACACACACACACACACACACACATCCCTGTACTTCTTTTTTGCACACACTCTTGAGAATGTCAAGTCGTCTGGATGAGATTGACAGTCACCAGGGCCACAGGATCACACCCTCACACTCCCGTGGTGCGGTGCTCTGACAGCCACTACCAGCCACAGTGTGTGTGTGTGTGTGTTACAGTGAAATTACTCGGGGACATGCTTCACTATCTGTCTATCTGCATAATATTTGTTATGTAAACGTGTCACGCGACGTGCTCTTTTGCTGTCAGTGGATTCGCGCTCGAAGAAAACTAAAAAGCCATTTGTCACTCTTATGGGGAACTACTTTGCCTCTGCAAGCAGGGTGGAGGAATAAGACAGCTTACGTAAACAACTGTGTAAAGCCTGGACTACCCTCAACTGTCTACATTTTCAGACTCTGAACATGGTAAGTTTTCCCCTTTAATGGATGTGACACCATGTTCTGAAATGAGTACGGCGTGATAAAAAACCCCGTGTGTCAATCCTATGCAAATCCCAATTGTTTTATTTGCAAACTGCGAGTCACAGCGAGCATGTGATGGCAGCCTGTGAGACCATCTTAGTGTTGGTGACAGAGAAAACGCACCACACAGACACACAAGGAGACACTCTCTGTCCATGTCTGCCAGAGGAGACAAACAAAGGGAAGCAGAGCGGTGTGTTTCAAAAGTTTGTTTTTAATATTCACTGGAAAACAAAAGAATTGCCCACTTCCTCCACCTGAGTCTACACAAAATAATTCACTTGTCACCCTATGAGAGGAGGTTTCCCGATGCCAAAAAGTAGTTCTCTAGACGATCACAGTTTGGTAAACGGTATTAAAAAAATACAGCAGTCAAAACTCAATCCAAAGTAGTCATCAGTAAATGTAGTGTGGAGATCAAAACAGTCTATATACAATGAACAAAACAGCAGCCGAAATCTAGGATGTGCCTAGAGTTCATGTTAATATTATTTACTCTTTACTCAGCAGATCGCCCGTTGGATGTTTGTTTTTTTTCACCGTCGTTGGTTTGAAGTCGTCGTGTGAATCGAGCTGTTTTCTCAGTTCTTTCACTCGTGACCTTTTAAAGCTTGTCAGCCTCCGTCTGTGATTTGTGCTCAAGTTCATGGCATTGATTTCACTGTTGTGCATTATTGCTTTGAGGGGTGCATAATCCGCTGTTGGCTTTATTGCTTTATGGAGACTGAATGTTGAAACGTACAAAACAGGTTCATTTCAGATACTGTGACCATTCGTATATTTGACACTCTGAAATATAGACTTTTAAGCTCTAGAACCAGCTTTAGCTGATATTTTGAGTCCCAACATTGACACCTTGTAATTTGTATATGGAGAACCTAGAAAACAGCAGTTATGGTGAAACATAAGCATTCATTTAGTTGGTGAATGGAAGTCCAATATTCACCCTCCGTTTTTGTTCTCCACCAACTCCTGAGAGAAACATCTGTCTCTTTAGCTGCTAAATGCTCCACTGTGTTCACCAGCGAGTCGCTCACTGTGTCTGTCTGATGCTTCACGCTGGGCAGGTAGCATACAGAGATTTAATCCAAACTCTTTTGCTCAAAACAGCTGCCTGTTGCGTCGGTAAACAACAGTATGAGAGCGGCGAGAGTAAACCAGAACACAGACTAAAGTTGCAGGCTAAAAGATGCTAACGCTCCGTAGAGCTAACAGTCACACAAGTATCCACTGTTAATCTAAAAATGTTGACTATAGCTGCTTTAAAGTACTTTTAGCTCCAGTGTTTTGAACATAAACCATTCAAACCTCCTCCTTCATGAGCTTATCTTTCCCCTCGTACCGGTAAGACAACACGGATAATTAGCTTTGAGACGGTGAACTAATCTGTTGCTCTGCAATGAAACTGACGCACGCCAACAACAGGTGGATCCACCGACCAAAAACAGTTTAGAGTTTACGTTTGAATTAGAAAATTTCATTTAAAAAAAAAAAAATGGAAGAAATTGTGCTCTATCTGCAAAACTCTTGAACAGAGGCCAGAAGTATCCAGTTGTTGAATCATTTGATTTTCACTCACTGTTTGTACTGATTGAAGACTCACTCACCTGTTGTTCAGCCTACTGGAGGTGAACCTAAAGGATGTTATCACACCAGGTATCGACGCCAAAGATGCTGGTCACTCAATCTTTCTGCACATAATAATTGGTGGAGACGGTGCCGAACAGATAGCAGTACTGCCAGTGTGAGATAACTGTAGTCAATAAGGATTTTGGCTCTCTGACGAAGACTGTGGTGACATTAATCGCAGAGAGAAAATACCCCAATTCAGGATGTCTGATAATAAATGGAGCAGTGGATTGTACCTCGTGTATTGCTATTTATGTTACACAATAGAAACTGTTTTTGTGTTTACAGTGTTTGTACCTGGTGGACCCAAAAAGAAAAGCGTTAGAAATGTGAGTGGCAGGTTGGTGTACCCAAGCATGGCCCCATCTCCAATTGTAAAAGTCATTACTCCGTTAACTGCAGCACAGTACTTGATAGCATCTCTTAAATTATGGTTCAATTCAGTCACTGCATCAACCAAACACTCAACAAGGTGGGGGGGGGGGGTTAATGGTTCCTCGCTCCCTGATCAGAAGTCTAGTTGTCTCTTCCAATCTCCCTAAACGTCTTCACGTTTTCTACTCGAGAAGAAGAGGAGGCGAGAGTGGGGGTGGTGAAGGTGAGAGATGAGTACAAACTTGGCCTTTTTGTTCTCCACCTTCCCTTCTGCATTAAGACTCGATAAGAGAAGACGATCAGGAGGATGAGGGGTGGACAGAAGCATGGCGGAAGGACGATGGTCTGATTGTTGCCTCAGAAAACAAAATCATAGAAAAAGAGAAAGTGGAAGTGAATCGTGCAGGCAGGGTCAAGGACCACCGTCTTCCTCCTGTTCTCCACGTCCATGTCCGTGTGAGAAGCTTCAGATAACCCCGTAGTCCCTGAGAGACTTGAGCAGAACCGTGTCCTTGACGTCGCTGAAGACCCTGCGGATGTTGTTGGTGTCTGTAGCGCAGGTGAAGTGCGGGTACAGAGTCTTCCACTCGTCCCTTTTGTCGCGGTTGGCGGCCTGCTGCTCGTACAGCTTGCGTATGTAGTTCTTGGCGTCCTCGGGGTCATGCCTCTTACCTGTTAACAGAGACGAGAAGGACAGTAATGCCGTGTTCACACCAAACGCACCGCGAATGATGCGATTCGGCAGTCTCGCCGGGGACTTTGTGTTCATTCACGTGAATCGCGCTAGACGGGCCGGAGAGGGGGCGTGGCTTATCGCCCTGGAAGCCGTTCAACTGTTCGCCATCAACCAGGGAAAAAATAACCTATTTCTGCTTAGTACGAAATAGGTTAAACTCACACGTTTGGGGCGTTTTGGCCCAACGCGCCGCACCATCGCAAATTTGCGTCACTCCAGTCTCATCGTGTCTGTGCATAGACTTTGTATGTAATCTTGTCGCGTGAATAATTCGCGCCGCGTTTGGTGTGAACACAACATAACAGATGAATTTAGGTTGCAATGCAACATTATCAAACTAAATTACAAGTGAGGCTAGAATACGGAAACACAATCCTTCTTCATTCTCTAAATTCTTAACAATCTTGGGACAAAAGAAAAGGCCATCTCATTATTATAATCAAAATGAATAATTGATTAATTGAGGAAATAGATAGACAATCAAATTAAAATAATCATTGGTTGCAGCCCTAAATTAAACATAAAAAGCTGTAAGCAGTGATTGTTTGTGTTTTTTTTTACTTGATAAATGGCTTCTGCGTCACCAGAATAATCGTTTAATTAACGAATCAATTCAGCTCTGGTCCAACCCACCGAGCCTCTCTCAGTGTTAACGTTTTGTAGGACTACAGCAGCCTTGTGGTTACAGCAGCGGTTAGGAGGGCCACACAGGAACACGGCAGCATTAGCAGTCAGAGGTACGAACGGCTCACAGTTGTTGTTAACGTTGAATTGACATCAAGTAGCTTGACCCTGTGTGAGTCACTATTTTATCACTGATGGTAAAACACTGGTCGTACTGCACAAACACACACACACACACACACACACACACAACCACACAATCACACAATCACTTGAAGTCCCTAATTCCCACCTTGCACACATACACACCCCTCACACATTTACACTGGTTGGTTGGGGGGGGGGGGGTGCGGGGCTTGTGGAAAGCTCGGTATTGGTCTGGGTTGCCATGAGTAACAGAGGGTGGAGGGAGGGGGGTCGTGGGGAGGAGGGGGGACTGTTGGGGCACACCAGCAGACCTACAGGCTGCAGCCACATCATTAACCACACCAAGTACCTGGAAGTGACTCATTTGCAACCGTGTGTGTGCGTGTGTGTGTGTGCAAAGAGAAAGAAAGAAATAGCGTTAGCTAAAAAAGATGGAAGGATGTTATGCTGACACCAGGACAGCGATGGCGCGTTCAGAGTCAGGGACACACTGCGGCTCAAATCACTGGGCAAAGTACATTTTTTATTTATTTTTCAATGACACATTATTGTAGTGGGTGCAGCAGGATGTGATGAGGGAGCTGCATGCCCAAAGCAAATTGGTCAGAGGAGGAAAACAACATTGCAACCGTCGTATTTATAGCTCTTAAAATTAATACTCAAAATGGAAATAAAGGTTTTTCCATCCTGGTCGGAATTTACTGGAGCACATCCATTAAGCGCGTCACTCTCTCCATAGCGACTATGATGCTACCCTACAAACTTCTTCAGGATTTCGATTTTAGATTTAACGAGATTAAGATTCAATTCTGCTTCACTTTACTGTGATGGATTTTTTTTTATTGGTTTATTTGATACGGGACGGTGCACTTTAATACAACATTGCTGTAAATGCGCCAGAGTTAGCCAAGAGGCTATTTTTCATCTGTAGTCTCAGGGCAGATGTTACGAAATAAACCTAAAAATAAAGTTAAAGTCAGAGGGGAGCCTGTATGAAACCCAATGCTGCCTTTGTATGAAGACGTCAGTGACATTAGGAAACTGTTGTTGGGTGGCGGGTATCCAGTCAAAGTAACCACAATAAGTAAAAAAAGAGCAACTTCCACTCGGATTTGATTTTTCTTTACCTCAAAGCGCTAATGCCAAACGCAAGGCGCATAGAGCAGAGAAACGCAAAAGCGGTGCTCAAAACGCTTCACTCTCATTGAAAACAATTACACAAATCAGCTGCTAAAACGCACTCTGTCTGATCATGGCCTTACTTTAGCGTGTTAGCATGCTAACATTTGCTAATTAGTACAGCTGAGGCGTAAGGGATTGTCATTATCAGAATCAGAATCAGCTTTATTGGCCATGTATGCGTGCGCATACATGGAATTTGACTCCGGTTACACATTACTCTCATCGTACATTCGTTTTACAAAGAGTTGGTCATAAACCAAAGTATTGGACAATGTAACATTTCACCTGCTTTTTGAGCTTGAAGAAAAGTTAAGGGATCACCAAAGTTATTACAATTCATCACGGGGGGGGGGGGGGGGGGGGGGGTGGGGGGGGGTGCTGAACGTCATGCAATCCATAGTTAAAAAAAGTAAATCTCATGATGGAAAAATCATTCGTATGATGATTAATTCACGAAGTGTCTTTACAAAATGTCAATATATTGTAATAATTCAGTCTGGAAAGTGGTGGCCGTCAGTACCATGTAACCTCACTATTAACAAACAAACAAACAAACAGGCACCCTCTGCTTACCTGTGAAGCTGGGGAAGTATTTCTGCAGGTCAGAGGTCTGGACTTTGTCTGCCAGGATGTCAGTCTTGTTGAGGAAGAGGATGATGGAGGTGTTGAAGAACCAAGGAGAATGGATGGTGGTGTAGAACAAAGCCAGACTCTCATGCATACGGTTCTGAAGACGGAGACAGAGTCAGATACAGCACTCTGAGCTTTAGCTTAACATACAGGGGTGTGTGTGTGTGTGTGTGGGGGGGGGGGATCTGGATGTCTGAAGCAGAGGAAGCAGTCCTTTAAAGAGAGAGAGGGGTCTGGAGCACACGGGCCTCTGTAGAGGTTAATGAATGTGTTGGCAGTCTAAAAAGTGTCTGCGACAGATAAACAGCTTAGTGACGGGGGGGCAGCAGAGGGGGGAGAGCGTTCTCTTGTGCGAGAGTGAAGCCTGCTGGTGGACGGAGGAAATGACTGCAGTGACAAAAGGTTCGGATGAGACACAGACGAGAAGATGGATGGATGTACTACTACATCTCAGAGGTGAATAGATTACATTATATTTGCTATATTTGTATAACAGCTGTAGTTACTAGTTCATTTTAAGATTCAGATCTTTAATTCAAAGCCTCCAATCAGTTGAAATATTAAAGATGAAAGCTACCAAACCGTTTATAAAGTGGTTAGAAGTAGCTCCACTTCGACTAATTACATTGTTAAAAGTCTGTATTTGTTAATGCTGCAGAAATAATAATCCGATGATATAGGTCTGCAACTAACAATTATTTTAATAATCAATTAGTGTGTTTAAATCAAAGAATATTTGAATATCTAATGGTTGCTTACTCATTTTTAATATTTGTTGCAGCTCTGCAATACGATACTGTGTGCATACAAACATTGGGCTCTCCTCTGCATAATGATGAATAAAGACTTTTATAATGGAGTATTCTGGTAGAACTACTTTTACTTCAGTAAAGGATCTTAGTCCTGATAGATTGCTTCTGTTATTTTGAGTGTAGTTTCAGATGAGGTTGCTTCTGTTAGTTTCTCAGTGATCTTACGATGGTCTCTCTCTCCTCCAAGACCTGGTCGTACTCGCTGAGGGAGGCCAGGAAGATGAGCGAGGTGACGTTTTCGAAACAGTGGATCCACTTCCGACGCTCCGACTTCTGACCGCCCACGTCTACAATCCTGTCCGGGAACGGAGGAGAAGATGTCAGGAAGAGTACAGTTTGAATCCTCCGACAAGGAATCATCGGTGCTAATTCTGTTCAAATCAACGTAAATGCAGAGCAGTCACCAAGTATTTAGACTGACACATTTTCTGTTGTTTTGGTTCTGTACTTGGTTCTGCAGAATGTAATGGCTGTAGAATGATGACTCTGCATTTGGATTGCTTCCCTATGAGCCTCACTTTCACTCTGCAATTCTGTCTGCCATTTGTTATAGCACAAAGCAAGTGTGTCACCCATTGCAGGAAGAGGATAGCGCTTTTGTTTACCTCGGTAGCTATCGGTAGCTTTCCCCAGTAACTAAAGAGTATCTAATGTAAGCAGAAATGGCCCGTGTTGTTGGGCTGTAAAAGAAAAAACGGAAAGCGATCCAGTTGTCTTTGTGTTAATAACACCACTTGGAAACAATTAGGCGAGGGAGGAGGAGGAGGGAAGTTGTCTGTTTCCACTTTAAATTGCTGTGATGTCCACGCTGTTTACCTGATATGGACAGAAACACGCTAAAATCAACATTGGAAGTCAGATTTTTGTCAGTGATTTATTCACCTTGTTGTAGACAAACAAGGTCTGAAAATTTGATTGTCGCGATTTTTCAAGGTGGTATTCTTCACTTTTTGTACTCTTTTTGTAGTTTTTGTTTAAACATAAATGCTCAATCTGGCTTTCATGACTTTGTGGTGTCTCGCCAGTGTGCAGACTGGGCATAGCTGCGTGCACGACACGGTAATAACGGCTTCATCCGTGATTCGTACAACCAAGTCTAAGCTTTTCTTCAGGGTTAGGTTATTTTGATTCTGCGCTATATACCTCCTGATTTAAGAGCAGGTGTCATTTCATTTGGGAACACGGTGTTCCTGCAAAGTTAACTTCGGAGGAACACCGTGTGAAAGAAACGTGTTATAAATAAACCCAGAGAGCGACACCCCGCTTCCCGGCAGGGGCTGTGTACAGACTCAATCAGAAATATGATCCTGTTGCATCCAAACAGGCGTGAGCAGACAAAGCCTCTTTTTTTCCTTTTCTTTTCCCACCGTGCAGTGAATAGCGTCAGTATTGGATTCGTTTGTCTGTCTGACAGGTTGGTAATCTGAAGACCGGCCACCTTAGTGTGATGTTCTTGATGGTGAACGAGTAGTCGTGGATGCCCGTGGTGGGGAATCGAACTCGCAGAACGTCCTGTTCTGTGGGGATGTAGTCCGGGGCAGAGATGCGGTCCAGGTTGCTCATGTAGCTGGAGGTGGAGGAGAAACAAGAGAAGAGTCTGTTTGACACAACAGGGGACCTCTAGTGAAACATAATGTCTCTGTTTACACCAAATCCAGCCTCAACCGTGTTAAACAAACTGAAGTGACACAAGATGTACGATGGTGTGTATATATATATATATATATATATATATAGTGATTAAAAATACAAGAAGGGAGTGGAGTGAGTCCATATCACCCTGTGTACAGACGGCGGCTTTATGGCCGGTGTTGATACAAGCTGTCATTAGCTACTGCCCGTCTCTTATCATACACATGGTGATGATTGAGCTGCTGGGTAAACACAGGACAGGACAGCAATAGAAGAGAGAAAACCAGAGGCAGGCTGAGCCTTTTGTTCGGTGACACATCAGATACTTTGAGCGTGAGGCTCATATCTACTGTATGTTCACTCTTTTCACCTTGATTACAAAGACTCTGTACGGTGACTTTATTCACGTTCTCCTAATCAGTTTGCTTCCTCAAATACTCTTTGATCAACAGGTGGTTTGAACATGGCCTTATGCAGTACGGTGTGTGAAGAACTAGCCCCCTCCAGTGGTCTCAGTACAAAATAACTATAAACTAGTTCTGGTTGCTGATACGAAGGCAAAAAACAAAATGAGGCTCAAGTCAAGAAAAAAAACCGTCCGACTTTTAAGATAATAAAAAGATTGTTTGAAATCACAAACGTAAAAGAAAACTACAACTGAGTATGAAAAAAAGACTGAAAAAATGGAAACTAATAAGTACACGGCTTCTGCCGCCCTCCTTAAACTCACCAGTTAGAAAAACAGAAGCTTAAGACAATTTTTCTAGATGGACAGTTTTTTTTTTTTGTCCGATGTGAAGGTCAGATGTGGCCACATTAATGTGACATCTCTTTGATATCAGAATGATAGCATGTGTACATGTTGCTGCTTGTGTTCAAAGGTCTTATTCCTAGAGCAAGCTAGTCACGCAGACAGTTTTAGACAATTGACAAACTATTGTCAACAACTACTTCTGTGACTGTTGTGACATAAACTGGTTCTGAAAAGCAACAATTTTCTGTCTTCTATCCTCCGAACTTAAATATCCGTGTTCTGATTTTTTGGTCAGCCAACCAGAAGATGTCAGTTTCGATAAGCCACAGCTACTTACTACTCTGTGGAGTCCAGGAGCTGGTACTCGCAGCGCCGGCTGTAACAGACCCGGATGCCCGAATCTGCCCAGAGGCGGCGGACTGCGTCAACGTAGCCGCGCTCCAGCTGGCTGATCTGCACTGTGTTTACGTCCTGCAGCCACTTGGCGTAGATCTGAAAGACAGCGAGAGATCGGTACACAAACGTTTGTGCAGTGCCGTATTTGTGACGTCTTACAAAACTCTTTCGGTGTTCATGGTAACACTGCCTGCTTCTTCTTATAGACTACAAAATGCTGTGTGTGTTTCTGTGCCCTCTTGTTTAATGTGGGCACAATCTCAGGACTCCAGTGAGGGCACTTACCCTGACGCCCGCACACCTGTGCTGACGTTTACTTGTTTGTGAGTAAGTGAGTGTGTTTGTGTTCATGTGTGTTGAGGTAAGGGCTGGGTATCGGTATCTTTGAAGGTATCAACCGAAATAACCCGGTACCAGAAGGTATCGAAACTTCTCCCGTCTAACGATACCTGCAATCGATCCTTTTTGTGCTCAGATCCACCAAAAAAAAAGACTTTTTGTATGGTTTTGCTCACAGCCAATTACCGCAAGTGTTCTTCGATTAAATGCGACATGTGATTGGCACACTACAGCACACAGCTACAACGCATACACATAGGTTTGCATGCACACGACTCTGAACACAGGGATGTCTGAGCCTAGAAGCTAACAGCGCTAACAGCGCTAACAGCGCTAACAGCGCGAACAACAGCTCCAGTGGTGACAGAGCTAACAGTTTCAACCTGTGGGGTGACCGTTTCGCGGTCCCGCCTCGTACCTCGTTCTTGGGATTGAAGTAGGGGATTTTGAGAGTGGCCATGGCTCCCGTCATGGCCTTCATGGCTGTGAGAATGTTCTGGTAGATGCATTTACAAAAGCTCCTCCTCTCCTCCTCTGAGAAGCCTCGTCCGTGGATGATCCTCATCTGTCTGATGAAGGTAGTTTTCCCGCTCTCACCGGTACCTGAGAATATGATAACGACCAAAACAAATATTATTACAATTCTGTCATCAGGGCAGCTCAGAGGTGTTTATTTGGGCCTCTGTTTATTTATGCTCTGCTTGTGTCTTTATGGGTTTCCTCCATGTTTCCCAGCTTCCTCCCACAGCCCAAAGACACGCAGGTCAGGTGAACTGAAGGTGTGACTGTGGAATTGGTTGAAGAAACTGAAACAGATAAATGTGATTTAAAAATAGTCGCTGAAAAGGACACTGAAACTTGTCAGAAGTTGGATCTGATGGGCACTCTTCCTCATTCCTGGAATGAGGAAATGTTAGAGGAGCTTTAAACATTTTCCCTGAGTTTAGCTTGCAGTTTTTAAATGGTCTGATAGACTAACTAGATTCTGCTCAGCACCGAACTGCAGACCAAGTTAACAGCTAGCAGGTGGACATAGTGAAGCATTTAGCAGCTAAAGTGCCTGATATCAGGAGTTGGTGAGACCAAAACAGAGCTAAAAGGAGAATCCAACCTGGTCGCCAGAAACAAGACTCAAAATCTATGTCACTGATGCTCTGCGTCTGCTGGATGTGTAAAAGATTACCTTCATGAGGCCAATGTTGTCTATAGTCTGTCACATGCCCCATGTGGCGAAAAAAATAAAAATAATGCAGCTTTAATGTAGCCAGAAGAAGGATTCAACCTTAAAGGTGCTATACACGAGATTGGCTCTCGGCTAGAAGCTAACGGTGCTAACAGCGCTTATGGGTCCAACAGCGCTAACGGTCCCAACAGCGCTAACGGTGCCAACAGCGCTAACAGGACCAACAGCGCTAACCTTTTCAACACCGTAACGGTGCAAACAGCGCTAACGGAACCAACAGCGCTAACGATAGACGTTATTAGATTTGAAAACATGAAAAGCAAAAAGTGTTCATTCATTAATTAATAACAATAACGATTAACACCATTGGTGTTTGCTGCTATGACGAGTCAAAAGGAGGGTTTTGTCAAATTGAAGTAAATAGATATGCGGCTTTAGGAAAAGAACAGTAGCGTTAAAATCCAAGTTGTCAGAAGCTGAATTTCAACGAGCCAATACTGTGAGTTATTACAGCGCCGTTTCTCAGCTACGTCTGCAGTTAAGTGATGAAAAGATAACGACCAGTAAACCACAACAGAAGAACAAGGTGACTGAAGGATGCTGTTGAACCGGACGTCACTCTAATAGATGCAGTTTCTCTTTGCTCTTGATTTTCAGCCTCCGAGTCAAATAATGTCTGAGATAAAAAACTTGACTCATCTTCTTTGATTGCCTCATTTTAATGATTATTGTATTGACACTTTACAGCTTCCTTTATTTTATCCATATTTCTGTGTCTCTTAACCAGTTGTCAGTTTGTGTATTATTTGTGTGTTGCTCCACATGGAGACAGGTTGCAGAGCAACAGTGATTTAGTTGTTGTTTAGAGATGTCTATCAATCAATCAGCCATCTGCAAGAGGAAACTGAAACTCTTCTTATTCCGCCGAACGCTGTCCTGTCACTTCTCAAAGCTGCTTTAAGAAGAATAGCATCTAATCCTCCAACCGAACAGCGCTGAAAAAAAATAGTTCTATTGACAGTCCTGTTCCCGTACACAAGCGGTCACTTCCTGTCATTATACGCAGTGATGCAGGAAATAAGACTGGGCAACGAATCAATGTTATTGTTTACTGTCCCTCCATATCATGGCAGGGTTTCCCCCAGGAAATTTACCGGAGGTGGTAAACCTCCCTGGCCCAATGGAGGCGGCAGTGGTTCTTTATTTTCAGGAGAGGTCACACTGCACCTTCACAATAAAACAAAACACTGCAGGAAACCAGCTGCACACTTGTCAAATCAAGATGTTGTGGTTCAATGAATCGATTAGACAATCGAAAGAAAACACATCAACACTTGTGATAATTGATTCATCCTTAGTCATTCATCAGTAAAACTAAAAAGCCAAATATTCACTTTTTAAATGTGAGTATTTGCTGTCTTTTCTGTGTTTTATTGCATTGTAAATTGAATAACTTTGAACTTTTGGGTCTTTTGTTTCGACACAAATATAAAAATAATCATCAGATCAATCAATAATAAATATAAGCGTAGACTGCAGCTCTGCTTCACTGGATGTTTCATTATAACGCTCAAAAAATAATTTTATTCAATGTGATGAACATCAGCTGAACTTTTAACACGTGATTTGGATACTTTTGTTCCACATCAATATTGAGATTATTAGGATATACATTTTGTCCGTATTGCCAAAAAATAAGACTGCATGGATATATATATATCAGCCAACAAATTGGTCAACACTTACACAGGAAGTTAAATTCCAGTATACAAAGTACATAAACATAGGATCTCATTGAATAGATCGGCCCTATTGTCACCGATACGTGATCAAGCTGTTTGAGTCATTATCGGCCCGATATCTGATATCGGTATCAATGTTGGTGCGACAGTTACCGATGTACCTGTCCGACTCCATTGAAACATTAAGCCATTAAGCAAGGAGGCGCCTTGGTAGCTAAGTTGTAACAGCGCAGACCATAACTGTAATGTCCCAGGTTAGATTTTGGGACCTTTGTGGCACGTCTCACCCCTCCCTCTCTCTCTAGCTTTCTCTCTCTACCCAATTTCTACACTGCCCCTCCATCAAAAAGTCATCCAACCAGCTGTAGAGTAGGCTTGTAGGTTTCTGTGGTTTGCAGGTACAGCCGATCCCAATCTGGACCATAATTTGCATACTCACACAGTGACACATGCTCCACATAGCTTTCTCTCTGGGCTGCAGGCTACCAAACAGGCCAAGCAGTTTTCATTTGCATGGCGGGCGTTCCTTTATAGTGGCCTATATTGTATTTGTATAATAAATCTATCCGTTATCACAGATTTCTTTTATTTCTTTTGTCTTGTTTTTTTAGGCCTCACACTGCCATCACTGACTTAAAAGGTGAACAAAGGTGCTCTGTGTGCAATCACTGACCCAGCAGGAGGATTTTGATTTCCTTCCTCTCCTTCTTCTTCTGCTGCTTGAGGATCCTCTTGATCTCATTGTCCACAGCGATGTTTGTCTTCTCCTCCTCGGACAGGCAGCACACACACCGGCGGTGGCACCAGTGCCAGCAGCCCGCCATGGTCAAAAACCACTGAAATGAAAACTGTTAATGAATAATCAGCCTGCGTGTAATGAGCCGATAAGGACTGTTCGTAAACTCCTCGTCAAGTCCATTTGATGTCTTTTGGTTTTTACTGTCTTGTTAACTTATTAGACCTGTCGGGACTTATTCTAACACGCACACACACACACACACACACACGCACACAGACACCCCGGAAATCTTACTTTGACACCACTGAAAGTAATCTGCGCCAATGTAAACAAGTCAGAGGTTAACTTTAAAAAGGAGTTATAAAGCCATCTTTGGAGAAAAAAAAGTCACCTGGTTGAGTGCGTTTTAAATCAACTTCTGCTGCAAGTTAGTTCAAGAGGACTTTTGGAAGTTACAATGAAGCGTCTAACCTCCAAATCAGTCCGTCACACTCCCTGTAGTCGGGCAGGTTGACGCTCTGGTTGTTCCTCGCGGTCCATGTCCCACCGTGTCCCCTCAGTCCACTTCCACCTGCGGCTAACAGCTACTGTTGCGGAGGCGCACGAGCAGCGTTCATTGGCCCGCTGTTACGGCTGATAAAACAATCTTTTTTTCTTTTTTTGCCCAAGCGAAACAACCCGCCGCTCGGGAAAGTCCACCGCGCCTACAGAGGAATGTGCAGCCTCCGTGGTCCGCTGGAAACACTGTAACAGGAATGCGCTGTGGGCGACGAGGACGCGGCAAGAGAGCGGCAAACAACCGCGGCAGCGCCGGAAGTCAGACGGTTGGGCCTATAAAATAAGAGCACGTTGTTGCTATTAAACGTAGTTCTTAGACATTATGCGTAAAAGAGACATTTTTATTATGAAACGGAGTACATTTCTGCGTTTTGCTAATTGTAAACTAAAAAATGGAATGTAGTTGAAAGCCTCACATAAACCACAAGTAGTGGTTTAGCCTAAGACATTACATTTACACAAGCATACTTAAATACGATGTAAATACTATTATGCTACTCAATACTCTTTTTGCAACAAAATATACTTTAACATCAAAGGTAAACAATAACCCTCACAGGCCATTTTATACACTCTCACTCAAAGTACATTTTGTGTAAAATACTGCAATACTTTTAACATAAGTGATATTTTGAACTATTTACTTTTTCTTGTTACACAGCATTTTTTTTTCATGCAGGAAAAACACCTGCTATATGACATCACTGAAATGTGACCAAACCTGCAGCATGCTTAAGAAGTTAAATCAACTGTAGCTATAGTGCAACAGTATAGTTATTCCCTGACAGTGTGTGATTCATTGTCGATACTGACCACTCCTCTGCTATATTGTTCCCAAGCAAATACCGGTAAATTGGTCACGAGTCTGTCATGACGTGAATGGATATGACAAAATACACAATGCTGTTGGAACAGCCGAAACCACTACATGTGTTGACAGCAAATTTGATGTATTAGCTTATGTCTACAGCGAGTTTTGCATGACTTGAGTTCCTGGTTTTGTGGTTTGTCTTATCTATTATTCTGTTCATGTCTTTTGTCAAGTATATATATTTTCAAATAAAGTGATTATCTCTGTAGAACTGTCTAATTTTGGTGTTTAATTTACTTACTTTGGTGTTGTGCATGAGGCTCCGCCAAAGCGTTGTGCCTGGTCAAACAACAGCCTTATTTTGAAAAGCCTGCACCGGAAGTTTAAATGCTTCAATTAGGTTTGGTTTGACAGCAGTCTGAATGAGTTCGCTGCGCTGCGGATAAAGTTTCGGCTGCTGCAGAGGCTCCACTGCTTCGTGTTTCAGCTGAAGGGAGCTCGAGGGAAATCAGGGACAGAAGTTTCACTGAGTCATTATCTGTTACATAAGCGGATAGTTTCAACTCAACATTGCCAGATTTCACAACATTTTGATATTATTTATTATTTTTCTGGTGCTCAAGTGTACATTTGGGAACTTTACTAGTTGATATTAATTCAAAAGAATCAACTTTATACAATATAAAACATATCAAACAAACATCTAAAGCATTTAGTCTTTATATGTTATAAATTAATATATATTATAATATATTAGGAGACCAACAGCATACAAGTAAATAAAGCAAAGTCTCTCTAAACTCATTAATAAACACTTAAAGTGCCTGTGGGGATCACACAGGTGTATCAGAACAGGTTATTAATCACCCTGCAGGTGTTTTTTGAAGCAGGGATTAAGACAACAGGTATTTTGTCGCTCCTCCTCGGCTGCTATTTGGGTGTCAATCTTTTGTCTCAGCCAGCAGAACCGGTCGGTCCACGCTTTCATGATCTCAGATATTGAGATCACCTGAGCTCTGCATTTCCATGGGAACAAGGTGAGGTGAAAGACCAAGAGGGAGGCGTGTGTGGACTGGAGGGCTTTTTGTCACTGTTATATCGTACGTTTGTAAATACATGCACTACACATGATTAACAAGTTACATGAGTGTATAAAGCGCTGAGGACACATAAGATATAAGATATCCCTATTGTTTTTGATGATAAATGTTTGTATTTGATTCTTAGAAAGTCAGTTTGTATGAATCATTTATTTATATGAATTAGAGTAAATCAAGTATGTGTGTGTTTTTTTCCATGAAAGAAAATGTGTTATTGTATACTTATTACAGTATTATAGATAGTAGTTATAGTAGTAATGTGTTAATGTCTATTTCCACTTGTAAGGGGTTTCACCCTCTATATTCTCCAGCATCAAAGGTGTGTTTAGTGACAATAAGTCAAGATGAAATTGGTGTTTAGAAAAAAACAAGAAATCCAGAGAGGATGAGAGGGAGAGAGAGGGAGAGAAAGGAAGAAAACAAGGAATAAGAGAATAATAAAGGAACACAGGTAGGCGTGGATAGTAACAGGAAAAGTATAGCTGCCTCCTTCCAGTTACAGGAAGTTAGGTATCTGTCGTGTTCTCCCAATTTTCAGAGGTGATCAACCTGAATCTCTTAAGAGATACAGCACTTTATATGATGAGGTCGGCTCCTTTAGGTGTCGTGTCCTCATCGTTACAGGCAGCCAGTGGGAAGAAGAAGAAGAAGAAGAAGAAGCGTGAGGGGAGGAGACTTTGTCCTCTGCCCGCTGGCTGCTGTGGGAAAACAGACGACCATCAATTATTAATCTGACACTGTGACACACTGGAGATGATGCAGCACCTTTCACGTCAACGTCGCTTCTGCATTCAAACATGTCGCTCAGCAAGAGTGATCATTCAAACTCAAGATTTCAAAGCATGTTTGTTTAAGAGAATGCATGAACCTGAGAATATCTTTTTAACTTACTCATGAGATTACCTTTCAATGTCAACCACAAAACACAATTTAAATTCAATTAAAGTACACTTTTTAGTTGCAAATGCTCCTTTATTGTTCACTATAAATGGTTCACAACCTTTGTGGGCTTGAGACCCTTTTAAAGTGCAGCAGCATTATGCATCTGATTTAACATCTACATCTGAATTGTGAGCAGTTACATCAAAAATCCACTGGGAAAAAAAATGAATGTAAAGATGTGTAGCAGAATATTCCCATTTATTAGCTTGCGACCCCTTCAGATATGTCTTGTGACCCCTTGGTGGGCTCCCACCCCTTAGGTTTGGAACCACTGGCTATACAACAGTCATTTAATCATTTAAATACCCAAAGTAGAGTTAATTTTATTTAACATTAGACTACGAAGACTTTAACATAATGTGAGGAGATATCTTAATTTCAGAAAATTAAATTTAGGGAAGTGCACAGACGCCTGAACCAACGAATTGAAAGGAAAACAAGAAAGATGACACTGTTTACATGTTTGTGAATGATATGGTTCAAAGTGAGTGAATAAAATCCTTCATGAAGGCTGGTGGCTGAGCTAAGCGAAGGTCAGGCTGTGATCTCATGAGTCATGGCTGAAGATCTTCCTGATCCTACAGAGAACTGCTTCTTTGATATCTGATGCTGTTCGCTCTTTTAGTTTATTATCTTTGGCATATTGAGCTTCGGGAGTTTAAACCATAAAACGGTAAGACATTTTAAAACTTCATCTATTTTTTATTGAAATGTTTAAGATTTGAATGTGATTTGAGCCTCAATACATTCATTTGGATTCCTTCATTCCTTCTCCTAAAGTAAGTCCCAGACATTTATGTCAGACACTTGTTGCTTGGAAGAATGAAAGGAAGAGGCTCTGAAACAGGTCAAACGCACACAACGCTTATTTTTCATTTTAGGACTTTTCAACACTTTTGCCAGATTCCTTCGTGGTGGATTGAACCTCTAGTCATGCGACTACATCACGTGTCCACAAGATGTCACTTCGCTCAACAGTTTTGTCTGCCGGCTCGTTCACACTTAAACGAGCCTCAGATACAACTAGGAGGAAATACTTTGCCTCTAGTGTCATAACGCTGAAATGTGGACAGGATGAATAATACATTATTAACTGACAAAGAAGAGGAATTTCTGTTCGGTGAATTTATCAATGTTTTCACTTCTGCATTCACTTAGTTAACAACTCTCTACTGCAGATGTACTGTCCTGTACTTAGGTCCAATTTTGAGGTACTCCTGCTTTACTTGATTATTTCCATTTTCTGCTACTTTATACTTTTTCTTCACTACATTTGAGAGGGAAGCGTATTCTTTTACTCCACTGCCTTGATTTGGCCGCTATACTAGTAACTGTGAACATTTTATACAGAATAGAAAATGCTTTTACATGGACAAAGCAGAAATTTGATTTGGTTTCAGAATCTGCTGTTAAAAAGGGTACATTCAAACAGAAGATGTTTCATCCAAACAGGACATATTAAAACACATTAAATAAAAACACAGCACACAATAGGAACTTCATTAAAAGGGGAAACAGGTACTGGGTGGTGAGTACTGAAAGAAATACATCTAATGTTGAGGTAGCAAGCTGGCTTCAAAAAGGAGCTGTCCTTCTTATAATGAAGATATTTTACAGGGACAAACTGGTTTTATAGGTGTTTTTAATTGCACATGGGACTCTGTATCACCAAACTTTATTTTTTTGTGTTACTTTACAAAAAAATGTGCCCTCCCTGAGTTTTGGTAGGGAATGAGAGGAATGCAAAAGTAGTTCAGAAACAAAATTCCCACTGTGGCCCTTCGGGAGCCCCACAGGGTAGAATGCAGTATGAGGGTGGCAACTATATTGGTTGGCGTGCACATAGCAGACTGCATATGGATTTTTGTCCCAGTTTAGATAAATCCATACAACCACAACTTAGTAAGAAACCGTAGGTGTCTAAATTTGGGATTGGCATCTGGAGAGGCCAATTTGAATTCCAGGGATTTCTCTGGCGACCATGTTGGATCGACCTATACGCTGTGTGGTCATATAATAACATAGTACTCTGATAGGCACCAGTCTGCATAATGACTTGTTTTACTTTCAAAACTTAAGGGACACTTTTAGTATTCGTACTTTGGTACTTTTACTTGTAACCATATTTTTACATTGCGCCACTGCTCTACTGGATGTGGACCACATGATTACTCACTTAAGCTAAAGGAAACCAACGAAACAGGATATTCTACATTCACGTATGCAAATGAGGGAACTCATTAACCGGAGTAACTTTATTTGAGTAATGTAAATACTGAGAGACTTCAGTATTTACATTTTACTGAATTATATTTCTACTCCATTACATTTCAGAGGGAAATAGTTTACGTTTGAATGCATTACTGTACATTTATTTGATGGGTATAGTACTTTACAGATAAAGAGTTTACAGATAAGCTTGTATAATACAATATATTGTAATTGATACTTTTTTTTTACAGGGTATGTAATCACTAATAATGATCCTTTGATACGAGTGAATACTTCCTCCCTCTGCCACTGTGGCTGAGAAAGTTTCAAACTTAACATATTTAGAATTATTTAAGAGACAAATATATAGACGTACAATTAATACCAGGAAATATATTTAGACATTCAGCTGATTATAGTTGCAGGTACACGTATACCCTGAGGTTAAATGACTGATGATCTGTAAGAAAACAACTGTGAAAGTGTTCTGTTTATTTGAAATTGATATTGTTTTTCTTTTCTTTTACATGCTGATGTGTCTAATGTGTCACATTACAAAGTAAATATGAGACTTTCTGTTTAGTAATAGGTTTCCTGGATACCATGAGCCACTTCAAATATTGACAGTATCTGTGATGTTACCTGTTTCGTTTGTTGACTAAGCGTTCTTTTTGGCAGGAAGATAGATCTGATATTGAGGTAGAATTATACCTTTTAAATTCTTTCTTTAAAGTCTTTAGCTAATGTTGGTGCCGTTTAGTCACGAAATGTTGCATCAAGCACTGTGTTGCAGACAGTGGTGAAAGAAATACTCAGATATTTTACTGAAGTAAAACTACTAATACAACAATGTGAAAATACTCCTGCATTCAAAGGTCCTACTTAAGTAAAACTACATAATTAGCTAAATATAAATAAAGTATCAAAAGTTAAGGTTCCACAGAAACATGTCCTCTGGCTGTGAGTGACATAATTATACAGACTGTGTTGGCATTTCACTGTAGTAGCTGGTTGAAGAGGCTGGTTTTATCTATTTATATAGAGTTAGGTACTTTAGGGTATTATTGCCTTTCTTAAACGGGTCTCAAGTCAAAAATGTTTGAAACCACTGGTTTACTAATTGGCAATGCATTGTATTTTATAAACTTATAATAATTAAAGTGATTTATTTTGCAAAAAATGTATCCAAAAAGTAACCAATAACTATCGCTGACAGAAAAGTATAGTGGAGTACAAAGTACAATATTTGCCATTACGTATAGTGAAGATTAATATATAGTAGCATAAAATAGAAATATCCAAGTAAACGAGTACTTAAAAATAGCAGGCTACTACATATTTTAACTTCATATTATATTATTCGGCAATTCTGCACAAAACTACCACTTCTAAAAGCTACACAGCTATTTGATTTTAATTCAGATATATTGTACATATTTTAATAGTATTTTTTGATATTTCTTTTGTATTTTTTTCCATTCTATATTGACATTTCTTGATTTTTGCAAAATTTGCTTTTATTTTTAATTACATTTTCTTTTACCATGTTTATGTTATGCACCAAAACACCTAAGTAGATTAATTTCTATGTGAAAAACCGACTTGACAGGTAGATGTTTGAATATTTTTCAGTAGTGAGCTTGTGAATCTCTGAAAGGCCACAGTGAAGACCAACATCTGGACCGGTCGGGATGAGGCGCTGGTCTTTGACAGGAGAGATGGGCGTTGCCCATCCAGCCAAACGTCTGTTGCTTTTTCGCTGACACGCCTCCGAAAGGAGCGCGTCCTCTCAAGCAAACTTAGGAAGCCAACCATCCGGCAAAAGTCCCGCCTTAAAACGCCCACAAGCTCTGTTCTCATTCGCTGCCAACTCTTGTCAATCAATTATATCCCAAGCGACGTCAGCAGCAGCGCCACACCGGGGCTTGAGGAGTGGGTGACGAAGAGCAATCACCACCACCAGGAGAAAAAAAAAAAAGAAAAAAGAATACCAGGAGCGATAAAATGCACGGACTACATGGGTCCATTTAACTGTCAAATATACGGTTGGGTCTTTTGAGGGTTTGTTCCTGGCGATGTCTTTTGGAGAACACTATTTCAACACAATAAAGGTCCTCTGTCAAGCAGAGCTTTCTGGGTATTTTTTTTTTTACCAGTTGGCTGCTTTTTCCAGGGATGCTAGCTGAGCTAACCTAGCTAGCTAGCTAGCTAGCTAGCTAACAATTAGCCTTTTCCCATTTAGCCACACTGGTCACTTGGGTGTCTCGGTTCTTGCAAGAGGATAACAAGCACTGAGCGCAATTTTTTAAAGCGATATTTTTTTCGTTCGGATTGCCACAACGGTCATCGTCCGTCGAGTGCCTTGTGGCAGCGTGCTCGCCTGACTGTTAGTTCGGTAGATGGACAGTTTTAACGGGCGCTCATCGTCGCTGCGCGGGCGTACAGTGTTGGTTTCTGGGCGGCTAGCCTTGTACTCGGCCGGGCGACCAGCAGAGGGATTGTACAAATGTAGCAGCCAGTACTGTCCCACTGTCTCTGGGACCGTAAGTGGTAGTTTGGAATAAAAACCCGGATTGTGTTAGACTTGCGGTTTTAGTTTACTAGCTTTAACGTATTGGTTAACACTGACAATCCATCAAGTTGTCAACGTTAGCTTTGGTTATAACGTTAGCAAGCATTTAGCCTACAAGCTAGTTGACGTTACCCTAACTAATTTCAGCTTTTTTTTTTTTTTTTTTTTTTTTTTTTTTTTTTTGAAAAAGTGCATCAAATAAAACTGTTATTTACGCGTTCGGTAGTCATATGAGATATTTGACATGTTGCATTGCACATTGTGTGTCCCTGTCGCCTGAGGATCTACTAAAGACTTTGACGTTAGTTGTCAAATATTTGACACTTGACAGCAGTTTCGCCAACAAACAAGACGGTCACATTCTGCACCAAGAGCCCGTCGAGCTCCATTATTCAGCGTGTGGATATAACTTGTTGACAAAAACGGGACTGTTGCTCATTTCTCTGATACTTGTGTGAGGTGTAGCCCGGCGGCCCCCTTGTCAGACGGGCTTTTCAGCTCATGCGGTGATGACTTTAGACTCCATGATGGCTTGTTGCCTGAGTGAAGAGGCGAAGGAGTCCAAACGAATCAACGCAGAGATCGAGAAACAACTCCGGCGAGACAAAAGGGACGCAAGACGGGAGCTGAAGCTTCTTCTGCTGGGTAAGTCTAACGGAGACTGTCTCATATTGGCTGGACATTTGCACATCATCGCTACTTCTTGATAAACCCCACACACACACACACACCAATCAGATAGTGCCTGAGCTATTGATTTGATTGCATTGTAAAGGTTTTGCATGCAAAACATTGCACCCACAATTGTATGAGCCACATTTCCCTGGTCACCACAGGATTTGTGTGTGAAGCCATATGCAAATAAAAAATTCAGATGGGAGCTGGTAGTGGAGGAGCTAAGAGCAGCCATTGACCCAGGAAGCTGGGTAATATGCAGTGTGTGTATGTGTGTGTATATATATATATATATATATGAATGACATTTACACCAACAGTCTGTGCTGTGTTCATAGCTGCCATCTTGGGTCGGCCCTCTTGCTTCTTTTGCCTCCACAGCCTAATTAAAAGCCCTTTGACATTGTCAGGTTCATGACAAGTCTGTCGACCCCTCACAAGATAACGGAGGCAGGAGACTGTCGTCACTTCATGTATTCCACTTCATGAGATGGTTGTTCTGGCTTCATTTTGGCAACTCACAAAACACAAATGGACTCAAACGGCATAAGAGAATGGGTTGTAACATTTGAAGTCTCTTTCTGTGAATCAAATTTCATAGAAATATACATGGTTATCCTCCTGAATGAAAATAAATAAATATGAAAATATATATATATTAAAAAAAAAAAAAAAAAAATGTGTTTGTTAGTTAAGTTTATCTTCTCATAACCAGCTTCTTACTGTAGTGGCCTGCCACATCACCATAGTTTTATCTGCCTGTTAAACATGGCTTGAATACAGATTAAGAGTTTGTTTTAATTAAGTCTACTACAAGAGAGACCGCATTCTCTTGGTGTCTGGTCTAGAAAAGGCCTTCACTGAGGTGTCCCACTCGGGGGAAATAACTGCTCTCCAAAGAATAGGCTCTGTCATCCACCGACTAGTTTTCCTGTTTAAAGAGGAGCAGAGCCAGTTTTTATGTTGCGTTAGAAAGACGTTATTTAGCTTGTTCCAAGTTTAGGGTTGGCTACAAATGGCATCACAACGACATGCTGAAGTATTCAGTATCATGCTTTGAGTACTCTTCAGTAACTCTGCTTTGTTGTCACAAGTGACTGAATTCACACTTTGTGGCTTTATAAGGATATGCTCACTCCTATCGGCAACAACGTCCAACACTCAAAGGGATAGCAGTGTATACATTAGCAAATTTAACTGCTGTGGCACTTAAGATAAGATCTTAACTTATCTTTAGAAATAACCTTTCTTGTTCTCAACCCATTCATGTTTATGAGTCGTATCATTGTCAGAACCTTGTTGAATGTGGAGAAATAAGTTGTATCTTTACTAACATAAGGAGATGTTCTTATTTTATTAGCATGTGGAGTAGTGGATGCCTAATAGGCTTAGCCGATTCTCCAACATGCATAAGTAATCTTTTCTCCTTTCACCTTTTAACTGCGTCAGTCAGTGGTACGTTGAAGTTTCAATGAAACAGAAAGTCTTAAAACTTTTGTCTCACTCGCAATTAATTCATGAATGCATTTCATCCGTGCGTTTATAGATTATGAATAATTTCTAGCTATTAAGCAAAACTGTTGTAGTTAAAAGTGAGAACGTGAGCTGCGTGTTTCTTTTATTATTTTTTAGTATATGTCATATTTTATGATGTGTTTCTTATGTATTGATTATATTTTATGTCTATTCTGTGTCTATTCTATGATAAGTTATGTAACTAATATCAAGTAAGAGGTATCAAACTCCTGGAATCTGCTAATATTTAGCTGTAATATGACGTTTCAGTGTGACTGAGTGCTACGTGATGTCAAAGCCTCTAATTGAAAAACGGCACAACAAAAAAATAATGGTTGGCAACACACAAAAGGCATCTGTTGATTCAGTTGGCCAACATATTGCCAAACATTGATTAGAAATATAAAAGTGTTGTTGGCGCAGCGACATATTGTTGTTGTCCTTCTTTTCCTGGGATGGTGACTCACTCAGAGAGATTGATTTGGAAGAAATCCCTTTTCCTTCCTCGCAACCCAAATCCTTTTTCTTTTTTTTTTTTTTTTTTTTTTTTTTTTTTTTTTTTTTTTTTTTTTTCTTTTTTTTTTTTTTTTTAATTTTTTTTCTTCTTTCTCGTTGAAAATGCTAAAGTACAAATTGCAGGAGTCATTTGTCTTTTTTCCAGCTTGTGGTGGGAGTCTGCTGTCACATTATTTAGGCTTGTGTGAAAAGGATCTAAGCACCATGTAGCCACTACAGTGTGAGTTATGGTGCACTCTGGTTGTCTCACTTCATTTGGAACCTATTATGGACATCTTTGATCCTTTTTATAGATCTTCATGCAAACTGCATCTTTTTATGTTTTTGGCATCATGTCGCGTCTCTTCAATGGCTTGTGACTGCTTAAATTTACTGTTTCACAAATTGGGGAAAGAAATAACAAACTTTTTATAGTTTTGGTGATTTGCTCGCTAATGTTGCAGCTTTAACCAAATATTTCAGTTTTCAGCTGGAAAGATACAACCTGGGTGTTGCTCCGACTCTCATTGTCATGCTCTTCTAAATTGTGACATACATACTTGTGACCTTTTTAAGGAGCATTGCTGTGTTTTTTACGATTTCTTTCTTCCAGCTGTTTATCAGCAACGGGCTGGCGTTCCTCCACAGTGTGGTGAGCTCGTGCATGGTAGAAATGCCAGCCAGGGTCAGCTGTAGCTAATGAAAGTCACAAGTAATTAAATGTGTGCAGCCGCAGCCCAGGGAGCTGCAGAAACAACACCAGTCTGTGAGCCGTCTTCAGTACGGGACCGTTTTTCAAAATATGTTAATGTTTGTTTGTGCAACTGTGTCAAACCAACTGAAATTGTCAGATGCACATTAAAGTACATTCTCGTGATGACAATATACTTTCATGTTCTTGTGATATATTACTCTCAGGATTATTATTATCATAGTATTTCTTTTGTAACAAGAAACTTGATACATAACATGGAAGTATGTCGCTATAAAGTGCTTTTGTGCATCGTGTGCAAACGACTCGAGACGGTCACTTTAACGTCTCCCATGTGGATCCACTGTTGACTGAAGGTTAAGTCACTCGTATGACTGAAAAACCTGTAAAACGTGTACTAATGCAGTACTGCACGAATGCTACAGATTTCTTCTTCTATGAAGTGTGTTCATATTGAACAGCCCTGTTACAAAGCGGGCAACTCGGGAGCATTTGCCTGAAATCAGTTGTGGTTCCTACAAGAAATATCAGAAAATCCCACACTATTATTTTAAATTTAGAGTAATGCATTTTACAAGCTCAATAATATGTAATGCTATCACTCCCTTTTCTTTATCAAGTCTAAAATGTGTCAAATCAATGTGTACATTTGAGGTCCAGTCAACTGTTGGTGACAGTTGAATTGTCGTGGCTCATCATTTTATAACCAGAACGGCCAAATATTGTAATAATATATGCATATAAAAATATTGATTATAGCTGCTTCAATACAAGAAAGTTCTGCAAAGTTTAAGCTAAAGGTTGAGCATACCCATTCATAGGTTTTTGGTTCATCAGGTACATATACAAATGTAGTTTTAATGTGATGAACATCAAATAACTTATTCTAATGTAAAACCGTTAAATACATGTATGTATTTTCGAGGATGGAGTGAACTAAAAGTCATTTTCGTCATTTCAAACACTGTTACGCGCACTGTTACGCACGTGCGCGCACACTTCATCTGTCAATGTGCACACCGCTCACACAGGCCTGTAGTATCTGGGTTAATGAGTGTTTGTTTTTTGGCAACACCCAAGGATGTCTCATGCATGGAGCCTACCTACGCCTATTATGGTTTCTCTTAGTAAGTCTTTCAGTAAGCCCAGCAGATAAGCCCCGTGCTGGCCATATTTATTTGGATCCCTGTTAGCTGCTGCCAAGGTAACGGCAGGCATGGCAGAGTTTTGTAGAACTAACAAAATGATGGAACAACCCACAGACCGAGAGGATAGAGTGACCCAAAAGAGACTTGACGGGGAGTGTGTATGAACAGTGGCATTGTGGGCCGTCTTAGGACTGCCCTGTGGTACCCAGCTATCCTCACGGGTACACCAGCGCTGCTGAAGGCAGAGTTGGCAGATCCCTCCCTTGTATCCTCACTCCCACCACCGTACGTCTGAAGCTGACTGACTCTCAGCCAAGGTGGATAATGCTAATCGTCACCCACGTGAGCTTATTTCCAAGAAAATCTCAAATTGCTGGACTCCTCCTGCAGCCTGACCTGGTGTGTGATTGTGCCAAGTGACTTGCCGGTTAGTTTAGACAAATGCATATTGTTTTTTATTGAAATAGTTTTTATTTTATTTTTTATCCACCATGAAAGTCTCCTGTGCTTTCAGTTCTGTTCCACTCAGCATTCGATTGTGTCTAAACAGAAGAAACCCTCACAACCTGGCTGTACATCACAGCTGTCAGTGGGATACTGAATACATTTTCATAATGCTGCTCAATAAATTACTGCCAGGACATCTATTTATTACTTGACCCAATATGACTTGTGTGGCACCATTTTCCTGTCAACAGGAAGCATTGCCTTGGTGGTCTAACGTTGTTTTTATTCTGGTGGTATGGTATTAGGTGATTATAGTTGTCGTCCAGTTTACTGCTGAAATGATTAGTTGGTTAACTAATTCAGTCATATTTAATTTATTGTAAATACTATTTTATTTTTTTTTTTATTTTTTTTTTTGTCTGTTCCGACAAAATAAACTTAAAAACTAAACTATGAAATGTTCCAAAATTGTGCAAAAAAAAAATCGATTTACACTTGCTTCAAACCCACTTTGATGTCTTTTTAATTTGCTTCCTTTGTTCAACCAACATGCCAAAATATAAAATTTACTGTCGTATATCATAAAATTTTTTATTTTTTATTTTTTTACATTTGAGATGCTGAAACCAGATATTTGGCCATTATTTTTGCCT